GCAGCAATAAAAACAAAAAGAATACAAGGATTAAGAGAACGCATATAAGGACTTAGAACACTGCCTGATAAATCATGTTTAATAAATGTTATTATTCTTGGTTTTCTTCTTAAAATTGCAGTAAAGTAAATACCCTTTCAAAAATGTACTATAATTTCAGATCTTTAAAAGGGTTTTTAAGTATGGAATGGTAGAAACAGGTTGCCTTTGAGTCAAGAGACTTGAGTTCTACACACAACTTACCCCGCTATGTGACTTTGGGCAGGCCATTGTGGGCTTTAGTTTCCACATCTGTTAAGTGAAAGCTAAACCTCAGATTTTATTCATTCATTCATTCATTCATTTACTTATTAATTCATTCATTCATGTATGTATGAATGAGTTGGGGTCTCACTCTGTCGCGCAGGCTGGAGTACTGTGGCATGCTCACGACCACCACAGCTTCAACCTGCTGGACTCAGGCAATCCTTCTGCCTCAGCCTCCTGAGAAGCTAAGACTACAGATACGTGCCACCACACCTGGCTAATTTTTTGATTTTTTGTATAGACAGGGTCTCACTATGTTGCCCAGACTGGTCTTGAATTCCTAGGCTTAAACAGCCCTCTCGGCCTCCCAGAGTGCTTGGATTACAGGCATGAGCCACCATGCCCAGCCATTAGACTGCAGTTTTTCTAGACTTTATCCTTAGCTACCCACTTCACAATTCTTGCTATATTTTCATGCAACCTGTAATATGATTCACTTTATATTTAAATCAACTTTCTTTTTTAAAATTTAAATTTATTTGAAATAGAAAATGTGGTTGGACTTGTTGGCTTAACCTGTAATCCCAGCACTTTGGGAGGCCAAGGCGAGTGGATTGCCTGAGTCCATGGGTTTGAGACCAGCCTGGGCAATTTGGTGAGACCTCATCTCTACAATAAATCAAAAATTAGCTGGGTGTGGTAGCATGTGACTGTAGTTCCGGCTACTTGGAAGGCTGAGGCAGAAGGATCGCCAGAGCCCAACAGGTTGACTCTGGGGTGGCCATGAGTGTGCCACTGCACTCCAGCCTGCGCGACAGAGTGAGACCCCAACTCATTCATACATACATGAATGAATGAATGAATGAATAAGTAAATGAATGAATGAATAAAATTTGTAGTTTAGCTCTCACTTAACAGATGTGGAAACTAAAGCCCACAATGGCCTGCCCAAAGTCACATAGCGGGGTAAGCTGTGTGTAGAACTCAAGTCTCTTGACTCAAAGGCAACCTATTTCCACCATTCCATGCTTAAAAACCTTTTTAAAGATCTGAATTCCAGCCTGTGTAACAGAATGAGACTCCAACTCAAAAAAAAAAGAAATAGAAAATGTACTGTATTATGTGGAAAATCAGTAACCCATGCCTTAGTGGAAGGTAACTATAAGAATAAATATAATGGGTCAGGCACAGTGGCTCAAGCCTGTAATCCCAGCACTTTGGGAGGCCGAGGTGAGGGGATTGCCTGAGCTCAGGGGTTTGAGACCAGCCTGGGCAACTTGGTGAGACCTCGTCTCTACAATATATCAAAAAATTAGCTGGGTGTGGTAGCACACACCTGTAATTCCTACTTGAAAGGCTGAGGTGGAAGGATCACCTGAGCCCAGCAGGTTGATGCTGGGGTGGTGAGTGAAACTCTGACTCAGGAAAAAAAAAGAGAATAAATATAATGGAACATGATACCATTATTAAACTGTAGTTCAATATTATTGCTTACAAAATACTTTTCCCCTCCACAAAAGACTTTGAACCTAAATCCCATCTCTGTTTAAAAGAGAGACTAAGAAGTACAGAGGTATTAAAGACAGCACTAAGCTTAGGCTGTTTTCTTTCAGTAACCAAAGAACTAAAAGTAAATTAGAATGTAGTCAGTCATGGCCATCATTAATAAAACAAAAAACAACAGATGCTGGCGAGGATACAGAGAAAGGGGAACACTTCTACCCTATTGGTGGGAATGAAAACTAGTTCAACCTCTATGGAAAATAGTGTGGCAATTTCTAAAAGAACTAGAAACTGACGTTCCATACAACCCAGCAATCCTTCTTCTGGGAATATACCTGGAGGAACTCAAATCTTTCTACTAGATACCTGTGCATGCATGTTTATTGCAGCACTGTTCACAGCAGCAAAAACATGGAACCAACTGTACTGCCCATCTAAACTGGACGGGATTAAAAAAAAGTACATATACACAATGGAATATTACACGGCCATAAAGAAGGACATTATTATTTTCCTATTGTCTCACTTTTATTTTTAGGCATACAAAAACATAAAGAAGTAAGGCAACAAACTTCTTGGGGGTTTGCTTCTAATCTGTTTAAACAGTAGAGAGAGCATTGCAAATCAAGTTGAAGTCGCTTTGCGTCCTTCCTGAGTTCATTCTTCTCCCTCTCTCTCCATGGGTAACCACCATTGTGAATTGCTTATGTATCTTTTCCTACCATGTTTTAATATATTATCACATGTATATCCATAAATACATAAAATTGCCTTGTGGGTTTAAAATTTTTAATATAAATGTCATTGTATCATATAGTTTGCTTTTGCTACTTAGCATTTAAGTTCTCAAGAACTAAACATGTTCATACTTAGCAGATATGGTTCATTTTCACTGTTGTGACAGTGAAGATATTCATTGTCTGAATGTACCACTACATGTTTATCTATTTTATATTTATATATATTTTTTTATGACAAGTTGTTTTAATTAAGAACTTGAAACCAAAATCCTAAAGAGTTTTATGTAGCATTTATTTGAAATATCACTGGATTCTCAGTTTCGGATTTTTTAAACATGTAAGGTGATTTTTAAACAATCTCACTGTCTTGCATATTGTTCCAAGAGTTAGGAACATGATTACAACCACATTCGTTTGTAAAAAGAGAGGGAAAAAAAGTAGGACCGCCAAAGTATAACAACTTGAAAATTTTCCTAGGCTCAAAAGGTGTTTTCTTAAAAGGAAAAGAACCCCAACAAACTAAGGACTTGGACATAGGAGTAAGCTTCACAATTAATTCATACTGACTTATTCATTGTTCATGCACAGTAAAAGTACTTTAGAAGTCTTGTTCATTGGTCCTACACTTAAAAAGAAAGACAAAAAATTGACCAGTATTTGCCTTCTAGGTTTTATCTTTGTCTGGAGTTCTCAGTATGTGTTTACTACTGAGTAAACACATTAAGTACAAGTCTGTTTTCTAAATAAGAAAAAGTCTGGCTTGTACAAAGTCTAGAGGAAGTCAGATTTCTAAGGCAGACCATCCATGTGGGGCCTGAACTACCCTGTCAGGTGAGCGGGAAGGTCAACACCGAAATGTATAAGAAGTGACTCCAAAGGAACAGTTTTCATAGTCAGCTACACCATCACAAACTACCACATGAATGTGATCTTTAGTACCCTCACATCTAATGCCAAATCTTCATTCACACAGCTTCAGGTGCTAAGTCGGCATAGGCAAAGTACCTTTCATATCTTATCTAAAGAAGCTAGCTCATATCCTTCTAGTAAATTTCTGTCTCTACAGATGGGGAAGACTTCATTCATTTGATGGAAACCAGCATTTTTAAAAATGCTTTTTCTACCCCAAAAGCAGATATACTCAAGAGAAGGAGCACTATTTATATAGACTTGGGCCTATCCATATACCACCATTCTCTCACATTGGAGTGTAGGTAAGACCTGCTGGCTAGGAATCAGAGTAATGTATTTCAACCTAAAGTCTGAATATTGTCCATTGTCAAGTTTTTGTTATGGTTGAGTTCTGTAGAAGAAAAAGCAGAGAAAGTGGGGGTGGGCAACAGTGTGTCACTGGTATCTTCTCATTGGTCCCCATCGCAATGAGCCAAATGATCTCAACTTACTAAATACAGTTTCACAATCTAAGTTCTAAATAGCATTGCTAGCTATTACAGAAGAGACAAGAGTCCATGATGGGTGGTTGTGACAAGGTCAGGGTGTGACAAGTGACTAAGTCCACAGTGTGTGTTCTGAAACCACAATAAAAATGTGACCATCTTGGACTCAAAGGACACTATGATACTCTACACACATATCGCCTTGGCACTTTGTCTACTGGAATATATTTGAACTGTTAAGTAACAAGTGCATAGATAATAACTTAAAGTGAACTTTGCCCCACCCAGATAATTCTGAAATATCACAATCTACATGGAAGGACACTGAGCTGAAGCACAGTAAGCTGACCGCTCAGGAACTAGCAGAGTTCCAGCTTCACCATGCGTGGAATCAACAGCAGTGTCAAACTCACGTTGGACTTGATGGCTTTCACAAAGAAAGTGCACAGAAAGAAAGCAAGTCTTGTGCTACAAGACATAATGGTCTTATAGTGATGGAAACTGAAAAGTCATTCAGAAAACTGGATGAAACTGGGCTCCACCTACATGTACGAAAAGAATACTGAGTTGTGAGCATCTGTAGCCATTAAAGACATTTGGTGTCAGTATCTTAAAAGACTAAGATGCTTTAAAAACAAAACCCTTATAAGAATATCAAAGATTGAGGGAATTATCTTCATAAGTAACCAAATGTCTATGGCTTCAACTGTCCGCCCTACTGCAAGGTAGGCAATAGTCATCAAAATGAAACAATCTTTTAGAAATTCCCTAGGAAAGACCCTGCATAATCAACTGGTTTCTTAAACCCGTGTCCTGTTTCTCTTGAGGGTCTCTGTTTTGCTTCGCTTCTCCTTCCTGCCTTTTACCCTCCTTAAAAGATCAGGCTGTCAGGCTGGGCTTGGTGGCTCAGCCTGTCATCCCAGCACTTTGGGAGGCCAAGCCAAGTGGATTGCCTGAGCCCATTCCGGCCACTTGGAAGGCTGAAGGCTGAGACGGAAGGATCGCCAGAGCCCAGCAGGCTGACTCAGGGGTGGCACTCCAGCCTGGGGGAGGGAGTGAGACTCCAACTCAAAAAAAAAAAAAAAAAGATCAGGCTGTCCATGCAAGCGTGTCTCTAGGCTCTTGCAGAGTAATAGCGCATGTACTCTATCATCCACGGATTCTCCAAGGAGGGTGCCTTCAACCGCCTGTTCCTCTCCACATCCACTGAGTGAGCGCGTTGCCTCTGAGCCACCGGTTTCCTCTTTTCCACCTGTCTTCTGTTCTTGGCTCGTAATGCTGATCCATGAATCTCATGCACAGGGGCAGACGCACAGACGTTGTGAGTTTTTTGGCTTCCTGTGTCTGCTTGTTTTTCTCCCCAGCCATAGAGAGCAAATGGATGTTTGTTTTCTTTTATCTTACAGGATGGTCTTTGAGGACTTTTGCCTGCTCTCCTGCTTCCTCTAGCAAATAAGGCACTTGGTTGTTGTCGTGGGTCGACGCCGGCAGGTAACCTGTCAGTCTCTCTGGTTCCGATTTGTTGTTCCGGTTTTTCTTCTCCATCTCTCACTGGCGGCGCTGGCAGGGCCGCGCCCTCCGCGTCGCGGGCCTCCGCGCCCCGCTTCCCCGGGGCCCCGCGCACCCGCCGGCGCGTCTCCTCCCGCGCAGCGGGCTCGGCAGGCGGCGGCGGAGACCCGGGGGCCTGCGGGACCCCCGGCGCCCGAGGCCTCGGACGACGCCGAGTCGTCCCAGAGCCGGGGCGCGTGCGCTTGCTCCAGCAGCCGGCGGCCCAGGCGGTAGCGCAGCAGCTGGCGGGAGCACGGCGCGTACTCGTCCCAGCGCGGCTCCCGGAAGCGCTTCATGGACTCGCTCTTCACCCCGCTCCCCGGGACGTGGTGCCGCCGCCGCCGAGAGCCGCTCCGGCCACCGGCGGGGCCGGACACGACACAGAGGCCGCTCCCCCCCCTCCGGCCGGCCCTGCCCGCCGCAACGTTTAAACCCGGGCCCCGCCCGAAGGGGACGCTATCTATTTTATTTTTTAAGAGATGGGATCTTGCTGTGTTGCCCAGGCTGAAATGCAGTGACTATTCATAGGCACAATTGTAGCTCCCTGCAGCCTCGAACTGGCTTCAAGCCATCCTGCCTCAGCTTCATGAGTAGCTGGGACTATAGGCGTGCACCACCACCTAATTTTTTTTTTTTTTTGGTAGAGACAGGAATCTCACTTTGTTGCCTAGGTTGGTCTCAAATCCCTAGGCTCAGGTGTGAGCCACTACACCTGGACTATTTCTTTCTTTTTTTTGAGTAAGAGTCTCACTCTGTCACCCAGGGTGGAGTGCAGTGGCATGCTCACGGCCACTGCAGCCTTGACCTGCTGGGCTCAGGCGATCCTTCCACCTCAGCCTTCCAAGTGGCTGGAGCTACAGGCATGTGCTACAACGCCCGACTAATTCCTATTTCATTTTTATAATACCTATTGAGGATATAGGTTGTTTCCTTAACACTGCAGTGAATATCCTGGAGCAACTCATGGTGCACACAAGAAAGCTCTCCATGTCCCTTAATGGGGGGGGGGAGGGAAGGAAGGAAGGAAGGAAGGAAGGAAGGAAGGAAGGAAGGAAGGAAGGAAGGAAGGAAGGAAGGTCTCAAGGAAGGTCTCCAGGGTATACATGTAGAAGTTGTTGCTGGACAGAGCTGCTCTTGATTGTTCCCACTTCTTACTTGAGATATCAAGGAGCTCATCACTAACCATTTGTCCACCCAGTGGAACATTGCATTTTACTTTTTTGCTAATGGATTGGAATCCATAAAATAATCCATATATTATTTCAGCATAAATAACCAAAATTCATGATCCATATTTTATTTCAGCATAAATAACCAAAATTCATTGGTTATTGAAGCTGAGTGGCAGGCATGGCCTGGGGTGGGCAGAACCATTTTCACTCTCTAAATCCCTCTCCCACTACCCTATCACTGATGCTGTCTTCCTCCCAGCCATCCTCTGTGTTTGAGCAGCAGTGGATATGGGATAGATACTGGGTTCTGTAGTGGACTTGTGGTACACCACCTGGACTCCAGGACTGAGGCGCTTATTCCCCCAACTGAGGTGAATATTGTCTGCTGACACCTCTCAGCAGAGTCCTGGTTGGCAACTTGCCTTCAACTGAAGAGAGCAAGCTGGCCCAAATTCACACCTCCTTTCTGGGATAGTCTGCATCCAATAACTGATGTGAGAGATCCAAGGTCATACCCCTTGCCATCCCAGCTCCGTATTCCCCATGGCATCAGCTGAAGCCTTTGTTCAGGTTATAGGAGTTCAATGTTCCCCTCCCAGGGATGTATTTTTTTTTTTTTTTTTTGAGTCAGAGTCTCACTCTGTTTCCGAGGCTGGAGTGCAGTGGTATGCTCACGGCCATGCCAGCGTCAACCCCCTGGGCTCAGGCGATCCTTCGCCTCAGCCTTCCAAGTAGCCGTAACTACAGGTGTGCACTACCACACCCGGCTGATTTTTTTGATATAGAGACGAGATCTCTCCAAGTTGCCCAGGCTGGTCTCCAACACCTGAGGTCAGGCAATCCTCTTGCCTTGGCCTCCCAAAGTGCTGGGATTGCAGGCTTGAGCCACCACGCATGGCCAGGGATGTGATTTTGACAGCACTCTGCAATACACTTTCTACATGCAAATCTCCATCTTGGAGTGTCATTCCTGGGGAACCTGACCCACAACAGCATACTTGAAGTCAGACGGAATTGGGTTTGTCTTCAAACACGAACTAGCTATGTAACTTTAGAGATTAGAAGTCCACCATATGCCTCTATAAGCCTCAGGTTTTTAATAAATAAGGAGGCAATAATAATAGTACAGTAAGTCCTCACTTAACGTCCTCGATAGGTTCTTGGAAACTGCAAAATGATGTGTAGCAGGTCCTCAAATGTCGTTTCATCATAATGATAGGGGGAAAATGGTTGCATTATATGGCTTTTCACTTAAAGTTGCAGTTTCCAAGAAACTATTGTCATTAAGTGAGGACTTACTGAATCTGCCTCTTGCAGTTACCATGAGAATGAAGAGAAATCATACTTGGAAAACATTCAGCACACTCTCCAGCACATGCTAATTGCTCAAAACAAGTGCTAACCTGTTAGTAGAATTAATACATTAAAACACTAGTCTTGGTAGACTAAGAGGGCAGAGGAGATGGGGAGATTTTGCTGAAATGTATTCTCCCCTTTTCTCCTTGCCTGCATTTCCAGAAACCAGTGAGTGCTCTTACGCTCCGCCCTGCTAAAGCAGAAGTGGCCTGTCATGCTAACTTGCTTCCGGAGGATGGCGCCAGCAGATAAGGCTGCAGTCCTGCCCTGGTCAGTAACAGTTTTTACTACTCACAAACCACATATCAGTTTCATATGCATTATCTTATCTGCTGTATTTTCATCAACCATGTACCAGATGCTGACTATTCCTCATTTATTCTTTCATCCTTCTTCAGCAAATGCTTACTGAGACACTTACTCCAGTCAAAGAGCAGCTTTAAATCTCTTCTAAAACATGATGGTGACTAAGAAACAAAAAAGGAAATATGTAAAATCCTAAGCCCTTGCCGACTTTTGAGAGATTAATAAGACAAGTTCCAGCCATTGATTTCTTTCTGACTCTGGGATGGTGCCAACTCGTGCTCTGGAGGAAGGCTGCTTTAATAAAGCACACGAGGCTTAATTCAAAGGAAACGGAGTCAGGAGAAACCGATTGCTCTGTGGGAGCAGCCAAGGTGCAGTTTCCTGAGGACTGTTGATCTGCAGGCAGAGCACCAGTCCCTGGTCTGGTAAAAATTGCCGAGCAGGCGAAAGAAGAAAACTCGTGAAGGGAGCAGAGAGAAGGTATTGAAAGGCTTCAGGGGAGGAAAGGTTAGCAGACCTGGATTCAGGACCTCCAGACAGAAGAAGTGACCGCAGGTCCTTGAATTTCACAGACAGGCCAGCAAGCATATACCTGGAAACCGCAAGACCAGCGCCTGGCAGAGGCCTATTTCTATGGTGGGGACCGGGGGTGCTCACCCTCAACCTTCTCACATCCACTCCAGAACTGTGGGGGGACAAGCTCACCTGAAGGTCACCTCAGAAGTGCAATGTTGGGGTGTCAAGATCTTCCCCCATGGGTGCAGACAGGCAGTGTCTCTCTCTCTCTCTCTCTCTCTCTCTCTCTCTATCTCTCTATCTTTCAACAATCACTCTCTGGTGCCCAGAATGCCACCCTTAGTGTCCTGCAACATGAATATCGCAGGAGGTAAGAGCAGGATTTCTATATGGGTGTGTGTGTATGATTATATTGGTTTGGAGAAAAGGCTGCAAATACACACATCAGTTGTTGTCATGGGTTATCTTGAGCCAGAAGGGGAGGAGTAAGCAAGGGAGATTAATGGAGAGTGAGAAAGGAGAAGGAAAGGGATAGGTAAGATAAGAAATCACATTAAAAAGGGTGCCCATGATTCAAATAATGTTTATATTATTTGTTTGATTTATGTAAAAGGTGATTTCTGTTGTCCATGTGTATAAAGACATGCATAAAAGATGCTCACCAAATTGTTACTGAGCTATCAAAGGATTTTACTTTCTTCCCTATACCTTTGTACACTTAACATTTTTATAGAGCCCGGAAGTATTTCCAAATATCCCATTTGATCATGGACTCAAAAAAAAAATTGTATAGAGTGCATTAAAATCAAGAAACTGGAAGGGAAATCAGAAACACTATCGCAAGCCAAATGGGAAAAGCAATAACAAAAGCTGAGCCATTCAAATTCTAACTTCTCCATTCCCTGGCCGTCTGGCTCCAAATAAATTACTTAGCCTCTTTGATCCTCAGTTTCTTCCTCTTGAAAAGCAGAGATATAGTGGGTGGCATTTATTTTTGCCTGCTCAGTATTTATTTCCCCGATTTCCCAAAGGAGACCCTCACTTTCACCTCAATCCTTTTGATTTGGATGCGACTAACCCTGGGAACAGAGTGGACCGAGGCCTGTCCAGTCAGTTCATTTCACTGTTCTCTCGACCACAGTGATTAGTGTAGAGATATGTCCATAACTCAACCTGGACCAATAAGAGTCAGATCCAAAGTTTCTGGAACTATTAGGAAAGAGAAGCTCTTTTTCTCTGCTAGGATTCTGAGCTGGTGGGAATATAAGGTTGGCATTACTGGCAGCCATCTTGCTTCTATGTGAAGAAAGTGTGATAAAAAGGTGGAGCTAATGCCCAGGAGAAGAGAGCTGAGAGAAAAAGAAGACGCAACACAAGGCATCACTTAAGGCCCTAGATCCAACTGTGCCTGACGCTGGAGCATACTTCCAGAAACAACATAGCATACTAGTTAAAAGTCTGTCAACTCTAAGGGACAGACTGCTTGGGTTCAAATCCTGGTTTTGCCACCCTTTTAAATGCCAGCAAGCATATAGGGTAGATCATCAAATCACTGGGGAACAAGACTCAGAGGTTGATGTCTGCATTCACCTTAACAAAGCCAACCTGGCCTGGGTCACTGCTGACCCAACTCTGGGCACCCGATGCTGCTTGTAACTCCATTGCCATTGTTGTCACAGGAGCTTGATCTTATTGCTCCCATCACACCTGCCAGAGAATGTTCAAGTCCTTGGCAGATGTGCCTGACCGGCAAAGCCTAAAATTACACACTCGTGTCCACGACGCATGGGAGGCTGGGGAAGGGAGCATGTGGCTTCCTCTGGGAATTGAGCTCCAGGTTCCAAGGAGTCTTATAAAGTAGGTAATTTCCTTAAACACAAAAAGAGGTTTCAGATGCTGGGAAACAAAAAAGAATGGCTTATTAGCTGGATGATCACAGTAAAATTGTTGAAATCTCAGTACCCTATTTGCAAGATGGAAATAATACCTTCCTCAAAATATTATTCACAGGGTTAAAGGAATTAATACATGTAAAATTCTTAGAATTATGTCAGTCACATAATGGTTTGATAATGCTAGATCTGTTTGTCTTCAGCCATTGGAGAGTTGTTATGGAGGTTTTTCTACTTGTAAACTGTCAGTCCTAATATAAGGACTAATGATAAAGCTTGGATGTGGAAATCTATATAAAGTTTCTGGTACATGGAAGCTCTCAATAACTACTTATTACTAATATTAATACTACTAATTAGTACTTCTCCATGATCTTTTTTTACATAACTGCTAAGAGCAAGATTTTGTAGGAAGAATCTGAAATGGCTGTCTAAGGCAGATTTTGATTATTTGGGAGTTACAAGAGGATCTAGGACACTGAGGAAGAAAAATGGACACCCAGATGAACTCAGAAATATTTATTGAGGCTGGGCTCGGTGGCTCAACCTGTAATCCCAGCACTTTGGGAGGCTGAGGCGAGAGGATTGCCTGAGCCCATGGGTTTGAGACCAACCCAGGCAACTTGGCAAGACCTTGTCTCTTCAATAAATAAAAAAAATTAGTCGGGCATTGTAGTATACACCTGTAGTTCCAGCTACTTGGAAGGCTGAGGTAGAAGGAGCTCGGCAGGTCAACGCTGGGGTGGCAGTGAGTGTGCCACTGCACTCCAGCATGGGCAACAGAGTGAGACTCCAACTCAAAAAAAAAAAAAGAAAAAAATATTTGTTGAGTGGATGACTAAGAAGATGAAAGAATATATAAAGAAGTTCTCTTCTAGAAGCAAGAGTTATATTCACCAAGGGATACCTACTCTAAGCCAGGCACCGTGCAGCTGTTGGAGTCA